GAAACTTAATTTTTCACCCAAAAAAAAAAAACGTAAGGGGTACCACTGTCGTTTTTTTTTTCGGGCCGAATTTTTGAGTTTCGATATCTCAGCTCTGGAAGGGGCTAGAGCCTCCATTTTTGCACTCAGGTACAAGTCTCATGGCCCTCTATCAGAATCCAGAGTTTTGGGAAGATTGGAGAAACTTAATTTTTCGCCCAAAAAAAAAAACGTAAGGGGTACCACTGTCGTTTTTTTTTTTCGGGTCGAAATTTTGAGTTTCGGTATCTCAGCTCTGGAAGGGTCTAGAGCCTCCATTTTTGCACTCAGGACTAAGTCTCATGGCCCTCTATCAGAATCCAGAGTTTTGAGAAGATTGGGGAAACTTAATTTTTCGCCCCCCCCCAAAAAAAAAAAAAAACGTAAGGGGTACCAAATTAGACAGCATAGTCTAATGATGAAAGTATAAACAGAAAGTATGACACTTCTGAATGAGTAGCCAACTTTGTGATGTGGCTGCGTCAATAATTAACAGATGTGTGCATTTGATAAAAAAAAAAAAGAATAATAATAATTAAATAATACAATAAAGGCAACCAGAAACTGAGATATTAATATTATTGAGACAATAGAATTTATTTTTATTTTTGGTCATTCAAAAAAATACTGAACAAACAACAACAGGATGAGGTTCAGATTGTTGACCGCTGTTGAAGTTGACCCATAGTGATGTGATGAATGAAACTCCAGCACAGTGTGTGTGTGTGTGTGTGTGTGTGTGTGCTCTAGCTCCCCCTGTAGGTGCTGTACGAGTATCTGCTCACCAGCAGCGGCACATGGACGCTCTGATCGGCAGCGCTTACAGTAAAGACAATCTAAATCAAGAAGAATACACACATTAGCATTCAGACTCTGTGAATACAGTCCGTTCGCCATTAGCCTTTCCTACACACCTCAACATACGGGTAAAAGCTGGACTGGCCCAAACTCTCCCAGTACTGGCCCGTCTCGAAGCGCATCTTGTACAGTCCTGGAGTGAAGGCGTCGCTGGTTATCAGTCCCGGACAGCGTCCGTCCTCATTCGTGTTTCTGGAAAAATCAGTGACAACATCATGACATATTTATTTTCCAGGGTTTTGATTTTAAACCTCTCCAAATTTGACCCAAACCACTTTGGACAGTTTCGATGGCAACAGTTTGCAGAAGAACACTATTACAATAATTTAAACTTTGTTTTGGACAAAGCGAAGACTTGACACAAGTGATGTCAACAGAGCTGAGTGTTAGCATTAGCATGCTAGCTAGGGTGGGTGACCAGACGCCCTATCGACCGCTACTGCCCGTGGAGTGGAGCTGCCATCTTAAACCGGTCATCCGCTCCGCTCAGTGTAATCTGAGTGCTGTCAGCACATTAAATTAATCATATCTCACTGAATACTGAACTGATTTTCACACGCTTTTTTTTTTTTTTTTTTTTTTTGCTGCAAAGGTCATTCATGTAGCTATGATACAGGACACCAGTGGTGGAATGTAACGAAGTACAAATACTTCGTTACTTTACTTAAGTACATTTTTCACGTATCTTTACTTTACTTAAGTACAATAAATAGTGCATACTTTTTACTTTTACTTCGTTACATTTTGCAGCAATTATTATACTTTCTAATCCACTACATTTCTACAACTTCTGTTACATTTTCGTTACATTTTCCCCTGCCAAAACGTCATCTGACCGTCCGTTCGTTGCATGTTTGTCTCACCAGTGACGTTTGGTTGCCATAGATACAGTATATCAACCCGGTCACACTAAATGCGTCTCGCACGCAGTGTGTTTATCATGCAACTCATACGCGAAAATTTGTTTTTACGTGCATAGGAAACACACCGTGTGTAATATATGTTTGGTTTGGTTAGGATTATGGCAAGCCAAGAGGTTCAGAATTACACCATAAATGAATCGCGTTTACTGCCAAACATAGTTATTAACATATAGTAAGGATAAGCATGATATTGCCTAATTGCAAGCTTGTTTCAGTAATGGTGACATTTTTTTTCCATCATTATTGAACATCATTATAGGAGTAGGCTATTAGGTTGAATGAGTTAGAATTAAATGTTTTATTAATCATTAGAAAATAGACATTAAGATAATAAATTGTTATGCAAGTACTTTTAATACTTAAAGTACATTTAAAATAAAGTACTTTGTACTTTTTACTTAAGTATGGTTGTCATTGTGTTACTTCTACTTTTACTAAAGTAAATATTTATCTGGGTATTTGTACTTTTACTTAAGTACTGAGATTCAGTACTTCCTCCACCACTGCAGGACACATGGTTCAGTGTATTTTAATATCCATAGTAAGTTTAACAGTAATATAGTATTCTGATATAGTGACCAGACACAATATGTGTGATGAAGGATATAATGTAAGCAGAAACAGATAGTAGCAGTAAAGTAAGATATTTTAATAAGTTGAAGAAACAATTTATGATTTGTAACAAGCACATAATAACCGGAAACAGGAAAATGCTCCACAATGCTCTGGCGAAACTAGGAATACGGCCGGTTCAAGATGGCGGCCGGATTTCTCGGTTTCCAGTGGCCAATAGGGCATCTAGTCTCTATATGATATCTATGGACTAGACACCCTGTTTTCTGAGGACAATCCTGGGTTTTGTTGTCCTTTTCTGAACTCGCTTTCCCTGAAATATCTCAAAATGCCCCGCAAAAAAAAAAATCATGAAATTTTTAATTACTGCATACAGTATATTCATAGTAATTAAAATGTTAAATACATTTATTTCTTAAAAGTGGTTTTATTTATATATTCTAATTTATTTTGGTTTATTTTTGCAGAATGGTCTGTTCGCAGTGGTAATTATTTACTATTGTTCATTGTGTAATTTTTAGTAAAACCTAGTCCGCACACAACCCTGTACACAACTCATATAATATAACAAACATAAAAAATTTACTAAATATTGGGTACAGCAGTCCATTTTAATACGTCTAAATAATTAATACTGATACTTTTTAATACTTGAGAAATTTCAAGTACTTGTATTGCCGTTTTCACTGAGGTTATCGCTACACATTCTGAGATTGCTTTCTCTGTGTAAGATACAGGCAATGCTTTATTACTACTATTGTTTTATTCTTGTAAACTGTCCAAAAGAATCAGACATTGCAGCAGTTTTGGAATCGGGATCCACAATAAAGTCGTATTAATGGCTGTTTTAAAGGTGAAGTGTAATTTCAGCGCCATAATATCACCAAACAGACTCACTATTGTCAAACAGGTTTTCCAACCCCCCCTCCCCCCTCTGCCATTGGTTGTCCAAACAGATATCCCCGCCCCAAAGTCACATGACTGGTTGTGGCAGTGTTTTTGCGTCAGGAAGATGTTCACACACACATGCGTGGACTCACCCGACGGCCACGAGGCTCCAGACGGTGATGCGGGGGTCCAGGCGGTGTAGACTGAGGGCCATGCGTGCCGCTGGGACCCCGTCCCCGGTGTTCAGCACATGTGTAGTGAGGGGACCTTTCACCGAATCCATCGCTCTCAACCCTACAACACAGTAGATCACCACGTCCCAGGCATTTATTATACGACCGTTTAAACCTGAGACCATGTACAGGCAACTTCCACATCTGTACCTGGAGATGTTAAAGGTCCCGTATTATGCCCTTTTTCACAAGATGTAAAATAAGTCTCTGATGTCTCCAGAATGTGTATGTGAAGTTTTAGCTCAAAATACACAACAGAACATTTTTTACAGCATGTTTAAATTGGAGTTTTTGGTGGCTCAGAAAAACGCGCTGTTTTAGTGTGGGCCCTTTAAATGCAAATGAGCTGCTGTTGCTGCCGGCACAGGGGGCGGAGCTTCATGAGCTCGCGCTCAGTCTCTCACGGAACGATGATATCAGAAACTCTCAGTAGGTGTTCATTTCCAGTAGGACAATAATGCCTACAGAGTCAGAGTGCTGTATAGAGATGGAACAGGTATAGTTTAGTAGTTTAATTACGCTTATTACAACGTATTTGTCGTCTGCTTGTGTCCATTATTAGCCTACAAGTCTGCTGTTTCGGACCACCAGGTCCGAATGATGATCAAAAAATATACTGATGAGTTTAATAAAGTTTACTGTACATCACACAAAAGATGAAGTGTCAGTTTTACTTCAGAAAATCACCGTAAGAGCTGAGTAAACACAGTAAGTTTTAAGAAGTGCGAGAGTTGCGGGAGGCCGGGAGCATTCCTTTGGGCGGACGCTAGTCAAAAAACTAATCTACTGACGTCATTAAAGAAGGAAGTAGATGGATGTAGTCCAAACCGGCTGTTAGATGTATGCTACTTCTGTTAAATAAAATATCTCTATTAATTGGCATTGAACTTTGAGGTTTATAATTTTACAGATATTATTTATACTCTAACAACAACATTACACACTACCTAAACTTTGAAACATGGGATCACAAAGAACGGGACCTTTAAACATGAAGCATATTTAAAATGGCTCGACTCACTTTCTTCATGCGCCTTTTCTAACAGAATTACTGAAGATATTAATATCTTACCTGTTATGAAGTCTGTGTCATCTGGCTGTGTGTCGCCGTTTATATGAGGAGGATATGGACACCGTTTGATTAGTTTCAATGAGTTAATCAACAAAACAAACCAGCGTAAGCACACATGCAGGGTTAATATTTAACCAAACCCGTCTTAAAAAGTTCCAGTATCACAAACCTTTAGACTATAAAGTACTACAAAACTAAGACAAGATATCTGAATCTACATACAATCCTAGCTTAAAGTCGTTTACATACGAGAGCGGTGGAAATCCTGTTAGGGCAGATGGACTTTGAGCTCTGGGAACTTGTTTGGTTTGGATCTTTAGACGAGTGGAAAAACATGAAGGTTAACTATGAAGACTGCACTTCTATCCTCTGCTTCGGGTTCAAAACCATGATGATTGTACAGATACTGGCTTTTGAAATTATATTCAGACTGCATACTATACATGAATGTATTTTTATTTCGATTGGTGAATACATTCAAAATTGTGTGATACAAACCAATGTAGCATTCCCATTATATTTGACATAATCACAGATAGGCTATCTATTACGAAAGATACACAATCATGCAGCGGGAAACCGCTTTACCATGTTATGCCTTATTTCAAAGAACGGTTTTGATAAGTGCTACATTTTTACATGAAAAAAATGACATAAGCTGATCATAAATCTAGTCATGAAACTAAATTGGCCATATTGATGGATGAGCCGATGGTAAATGACATTTGGGTTCAGATAAGTGTTTTAAATATAAATCTTAAATCTCACATACATTTAATTAACATAATTTAATTAATTTGTAAATCTCAGGGTCATGTATGGGGTTATCAGTTGATATAGATTTATTTAGATATCGTTATTGGCATCAGCCGTTTAATAACCCATATCAGTGACCCATAACTATTGCGTACATATCATAAAATTATGTATGTAGGATATTTGCAATAACATGGTGTGTCTGTGTTTCAATATTATCGTGTCGGTACTTTACTGATTGAAATCATGGAAAAACACCAGTAACACAATAAGTCATAAAATCAGCAGCAGCGTTTGACAACCAAATGCAGCAGTTGACTTTGTTTCGGTCTGTTCATAGGACACAGATCATCCTGAACTGGATTCAAACCAGATTCAAACACTTCAAGCTGAAATCAATGAGTATTTCAGCATCAGTCCATCACTGAACTCATAAAGATACGAGCTGACATCATTCAGCTCTGCGCTCATGTTTAGTTTACAAGATGAAGCTGTCAGCAGATCAGTGGAAATTGTCCAAACATCTCTCCTCGTTTATAATGGTCCTGTTCTTTACACCATCACAGATTAATCCCGTGGCTTTTCCCAAATAACTTGGCGTGTCTGTGAGAAAGAGCAACAGAGCACTTAGAATCAGTTTCATACAGTTTATTTAAAACCAATAGTTACAGGTTTTACTTTACCTGAAGTCTTTACATGTAGAACAAATCTGGTTCATAGTCATTAACCTAGCAAACACACGCATAGATACATGTTAAGCAAAAACTCTTAAACATTATATCATTATTGTATTTCCTGAAATTTTGTAGGAAGATGTTTTAGTCCAAAAAAATAAGTTTGTTCGATAAATTTACCAAGGTACGCCATTATTACTACAGATATTGTTACTAGGCGAGTCTCGAGAAACCTGGGCACGTTCTTGACAGGTTTGGACTCAACTACTGTAAAATCCTAATAAATTAATACAAAATCTCCTTCAGGAAAGATAAGAAACTTCACAATCGTAAAAATGTAACTATTTTATGTAACTACGATTGTAAACCAGGGAAGTAAAATAGCGAAGCTGATGACCATGGCCCAGCTATATCACAGATGGTATTGGGTAAAGCCCAGAGCATAATGTTAGATGATTCCCACACCATGCATCACAAGTTTTTAACTCCTCCCTTCTGGTATTCGGTATAGAACTCCTATTAGTAAAACAAATCGGTTTAGACGTTCACTGCTGTAAAGTTCCTAAATTTGAGGTTAATACTTTTTAGAAAGGAAATTTAGAGACTTTTGCTGAAAGACTCTCTAAACAAGAGGAGGTAATAGTTCCTCGTACTAGGGCTGCTTAATGAGGAGGCTCAGAAAGACACTCACTTACTTTTACAAAGAACAGGGCTCTTAGGGAGCGAGTACTCAGTGTATTGAGCCTCAGTACTAGGGGAGTACTAATAACGCTCAACTATGATCCTGCTAGTGAAGGCACTTTTTTTTTTCTTGGAAAGCCATTCGCCTGATAATAGAGCTCTTAGGGAGCAGGGTACTCAGTATGAAGACCCTCTGACGGGAGTACTACCAATGCTTGACAAAATGAGATTGTCAAGAATGCTTAGCAGAAGCCATTCAACTTAACTTAATAGGGAAGGGTAGTTTCATCATGGTTTGCCAGGGAGGCCCTTAGTGGGCCGACCTGACAAAAGCCATAACATCAGTACCATAACATTAAAGGATTAGTTCACTTTTGAAAAAACTTTTGCTGATAATTTACTCGCCCCCATGTCATCCAAGATGTCCATGTCTTTCTTTCCTCAGTCGAAAACAAATTAAGGTTTTTGATGAAAACATTCCAGGATTTTTCTCCATATAATGGACTTACATGGGAACCAGACGGTCCAAGGTCGAAAAGAGAGTTAATAACAGTTTCAGATGCAGCTTCAAATGTCTTTAAACGACACCAAACGATGAATAAGGGTCTTATCATGCGAAACGATCGGTTATTTCAAAGCTTATTCCAAAAATGTAACTTTTCTAAGGACAAATGCTAGCCTTGCTCTATTCTGTGAGGCGCGTTTGTAACGTCACGTAATACGTAATTACGTTCAAAAGGTCACGGGCGACGTAGCCGGAAGTACAGAGTCAGAGAGTTTACAAGTTGAACGCATAGGTTGAACGTGCAAACTAACTCAAACGCCGTTTACAAAAAAGGAATTAAAAGGTAAAACAACGATGTCGGACGATTTTGATTCTGTACTTCCGGCTACGTCGCCCGTGACCTTTTGAACGTAATTACGTATTACGTGACGTTACAAACGCGCCTCACAGAATAGAGATAGGCTAGCATTTGTCCTTAGAAAAGTTACATTTTTGGAATAAGCTTTGAAATAACCGATCGTTTCGCATGATAAGACCCTTATTCATCGTCTGGTGTCGTTTAAAGACATTTGAAGCTGCTTCTGAAACTGTTATTAACTGTTGTTTGGACCTCCGACCGTCTGGTTCCCATTGAAGTCCATTATATGGAGAAAAATCCTGGAATGTTTTCATCAAAAACCTTAATTTGTTTTCGACTGCGGAAAGAAAGACATGGACATCTTGGATGACATGGGGGTGAGTAAATTATCAGCAAAACTTTTTTCAAAAGTGAACTAATCCTTTAAGGAGGCTCAGCAAGAGCCTTACAACTTAATGCTAAATAACTCAGAGGAGAAATGCCACCTGAAGAAGGCAGAAAAATCCTCAACTCTGGATAAGAAATCATATGCTCACTTTAAAGACCTGAGCTGAACCATCAGAAGGCTGATCTTATCTTCGCCAAATCCATCGGTAGTTCAGCCCGGTGGAGTACACAACTTATCGACCCTTTGAAATGAGGGAAATACAAACAACACTCAAGCATAACTAAACTTGTCAAAAAGGCTCACAAAAAGCCATTCAACTTGAGCTTTTACGGAGCGGAGTACTAACATGCTAATCTGCCTCAAGACATAGTACAACCTTCACCTGTGTGTGGACAGCAGATTGGGGTGGATTTATTAATAACATCTGCCTCATCTCACTCTGTATCCGATTCCTCAGAATTAGACATTTCACCTTAATCAGAGCTAGCAGGAAGAGTCCAAAAATGAAAGGACTTCCCGTCTAACCCTGCCAGGAATGCATCACTACAAGATTTTTTTCAACTCTCTCCAGAGCTAAATGTGCTCATACTAATGCTGATATGGGTGGAGCTTCTCACCGTGACCATGAATACATCGCTAAGAGTGCCTTTATCTCCCTCAATGAGTACTATACCTCAGGAGAGAAAAAAGAAGCACAAAGCTTCTTACCAGTCTCTTTCATGTGAGCATATCCAGAGGAGTCAAACGCGCTTCACCCGTGGCGTTTCTGTCTGATACGTGCATACAGACAAACGGCTCCTGGAGCCAAAAAGATGATGACGTGTTCCTCAGGTGAGGTGCCCTTTTGTACTTTATGTACTGGTAGTGACGTCTTAGGCTGTTGCGAACCAATACAATTGTCGCATTTAGACGCGTGCTTCAGACACTGTTCAAGCTGTGTGAGTTCCCATTCAAAATGGAAATCCAGTTTTAATTTATGGGTAAAATTATTTAATCACATTGTCTCTCTGTGTGTGTTGTGTGTGGGCAGGAGTGGGCATGTTTAGCTACAGTGGGGGAAATAACAATTTGATCCCCGAGCAAAACATGCCTTGTTAATTGGTGGAGAAACCTTTTTGTTGGCAAGCACAGAGGTAAGATGTTTCTTGTAGTTGGTCACCAGGTTTATACACATCTCACAAGGCATTTTGGTCCACTCCTCTTTACAGATACTCTCAAAATCCTTAAGGGTTCTTGGCTGTCGCTCGGCAACTCAAAGTTTAAGCTCCCTCCACAGATTTTCTATAAAGGATTACGGGCTAGGCCTCTCCAAGACCTTAATGTGCTTCTTCTTGAGCCACTTCTTTGTTGGCCTGGCAGTATGTTTTGGCTCATCCACAATCTATCTTCAGTGTTCTGGCTGAGGGAAGGAGGTTCTCGTCCAAGACTTTATGGAAAAAATTGCATTCCATCAATTCCCCGTCCATCGGCCCCTCAATACAGTGAAGTCGTTCTGTACCAGTCGTCCAGAACATGATATTTCCACCTCGTGCTTGACTGTAGGGATGGTTCTTGAGGTCATAGTCAGCATTTCTCTCCCCCTAAACACGACAAGCTCAATATTGGACTCATTTGATCACAGCAATTTCTCCCAAGCCTTCTCTGAATCATTTGATGTTTATTGGCAAACTTCAGACAGGCTTGTACATGAGCAGCCTTCTTGAGCAGGGGGACCTTAGCCCCTTTTCCACCAAAGCATTTTGAGAGCCGGTGCCTGCGCGCGAACCAGTTCTTTGTGTTTCGCCAGCCAAAGAACCGGTTCTCGGCCAGGAGAACTGGTTCCAAAGCGGCACCAACTCTTTGCTGGACTAGAACCGTTCTTTTACCACGTCATGCTTACGTCGGGGGCTTGGCCGGGTTTAGATGTGTTTTAAACATCTTTTCTGACCATAAAAAAAGGATCGCAAAGCCAAGAGAAACATTTGCAGAAACACGATGAAGTACGCCTTTGTAATTGCTATGCTTGAAGTTAACGCAAGCGTTTCTATTTTTGTAGTTTTTTTTATTGAAGACATTATAAGCAAAGAAGAAAACCGTCACAATATAGAACAAATAAATGGAAAGAAAAAAACAAGACAGGGGTACATAATTTATCAGAAAAGATTACAATTCAAACGAAAAGATTAAAAGACTTAAATACAGGGGTTGGACAAAAAAACTGAAACACCTGGTTTTACTACACAATAATTTGTTAGAATGGTGAGGGCCTCATTTTGCTTCCAAATACAGCACCAATTGACAGATAGAAGTCCTTCACAGTGACCAGAGGGATTATGAGCCGTTCCTCTTCCAGAACAGTGTCCAGGTCACTATATGATGCTGGTGGACTCGCTCCTCCAAAACACCTCAATAATATTCAGATCTGGTGACTGTGCATGTTCAACGTCACTTTCATCTTCATCAAACCCTTCTGTCACAAGTCTTGCTGTGTGTGTTGGTGCATGATCATGCTGATACACGGTTTGAGCATCATGATCCTCCAGAAGGGTTTGGTAGTCCTCGGCAGTGTCGTGTCCATCAAATACAATCAGGATTGTCATGATATTGGAGCTCAAACCATCACTGATCCACCCGTGCTTCACTCTGAAGATTGGCCGCCATGCATATAGATGTGAAACCTCCAACATTGGCCAGTGTTTCAGTTTCATTGTCCAACCCCTGTATATCAATTGTCTTTAAAGCCTTCTTGGTACACGAGTTAGAAATAATTCCAAAGTAATGTTGTACTTGCAAGCGTTTCTAGCTAAGACATATGGCGACGTACACAGTGACGTAACGACGTCGTTCCCTGGGCGCTCTAGTAGTCAGTGGAAAAACAAATAGGTTCTGAAGCGGTTCGCAAGTTGAACCAACTCCGAACCAACTTTGAACCAGCACCAGTTCCGAACCAGTTCTTTTTTTGGTGGAAAAGGGGTACTTGTGGGCACAGCAGGACTTCAATCCATTGTGGCGTAGTGCTTGGTGACTGTGGTCCCAACTGCCTTGAGATCATTAACAAGCGTTGTAGTTCTGGGCTGACCCCTCACCTTTCTCATGATCATCCTTACCTCATGAGGCGAGATCTTGCATGGAGATACAGACCGAAGGCGATTGATTTTTAATTTTTTCCATTTCTGAAAAATCACACCAAACAAAAGTCTCCTTCTCACCAAGCTTCTTGCAGTTGGTCTTGTAGCCCATTCCAGCCTTGTGCAGGTCTACAATCTGGTCCCTGACGTTTGACAGCTCTTTGGTCTTGCCCGTGGTGGTGGACAGGTGTCTTTTATACACATAATGAGCTGACATCAGAAATCCTTTCACAGGACTAGTCCAGGACTAATCTGTGTTTCACATGGGCACATATGAGGGGATCCGATACTTATTTCACTCGATCAAATGCTAATCAATTTACAACCTTTATATGATGGATTTTCTGGATTTTTTGGCTGATATTCTGTCTCTTTCCATTAAAATGAACCTACCATAAAAATGAAAGACCCTTCATTTCTTTGTAAGTGGGCGAACATACAAAATCAGCAGAGGATCAAATTGTTATTTCCCCCACTGAGGATCAAATGTCACCACAAGGATAGTAAAACCTGAGATTACCTACATTGTGAGGACCGCTGGCTGGTCCTCACAGGGGAAATTTATTAATAAACATAATATATTGTGCTTTTTTGAAAAAAAAAAAAAATGCAGAAAGAATGAGAAGGTTTAGGGGTAGGGTTAGGGTTAGTGTAAGGGGACAGTGTAAAAATCATTATGCCTATGGAAACTCCTCATAAAATATGAAAACAACATGTGTGTGAGTATATGTGTGTGTCTGTGTTTACATGTTGTCTGTATTCATCACTGTTGACTGCTGTCTGTGGACTCTGTGTCTCTCTGTCGGTCCTCGAGGGAGGAGAGCTACCAGATGAGTCGTCCGCACTGCTCACAGAGCCGTGGAGCGGAGAGAACGCCACACTGTCTCCTGGGACACACACACACACACACACAAAAGAGCGCTAAATAGCATCAAACAGAAGATCAAGGACAGAGACAAGGCACCGTCTCTTTGGACATCCCACTTGCCCAAACTGTGAAACATAACATCAGAAATATGAGCCTGGTTCATAACGATGACAGAATGAGTGTTTTACCGCACAGCTCTTGGTTTTGAGGGTCCATCTGCTCCAGACTGTCCAGCAGCTCATCTATCTGTGATTTAATCACGGTCAGTTCCTTCTTAATGCACATGAGCTCCTCCATTCTTACTGCGGAGAGAGAAGCACAGGGTCAGCGCATCTGTTGAGTTCAGCATATACAGTGACCATCAGCAGCAGCTCAAAAATATGGAGGAACTTACAGTGCCCTCCACAATTATTGGCACCCCTGTTTAAGATGTGGTTGAGGACTTTTAAAAATTCTCCCTTTTTTTTAAACAACATAGAACCCAAATGCAAAAAAAGAGAAAAATCCAACCTTTTATTCAAGTACATTACTTTGGTGGTAAAAAAAAATTTAAAAATTTAGAAAAATAAAAACTTCAAATCCTGTGTCCCACAATTATTGGCACCCCTAACAATTCCGCTGAAAAATGTAATTGATTTTTAAAAAAATATATATTTTCTGTAGTTGCTAATGTTGGTCAGGATATCTAGGAACTTTTAATTAGTAATTCATGACTTCCTATTTCCCTGGGGTATAAATATGACATGACACAGAGGCCTAATTCTCTTACCCATTTGTCAACATGGCAAAGACAAGAGAACACACCATTCAAGTAAGGCAGATGTGTGATGACCTTTATAAGTCAGGCAATGGCTACAAGAAAATAGCCACTCACCTTATATTGCCCATATCTAAAGTTAGAGGAATCATTAAGAAGTTTAAAACAACAGGAACAGTGACAAACAAGGCTGAAAGAGGTCCCAAGTTTATCTTGCCACAACGCACTGTGAGGAGGATGCTAAGAAAAGTAAAAAAAAGTCCTAAGCTCACTGTCACAGAATTGCATCAAATAGTGGCATCTTGGGGTCACAAAATCTCCAAAACAACCATCAGACGCTCTCTACATGCCAACAAGATGTTTGGGAGGCATGCTAGGAAAAAGCCTTTTCTCACTAACACTGACAAACGTAAACGTCTGGAGTTTGCCAAGCGGCACTGGGACTTCATCTGGGATCGTGTGCTTTGGTCGGATGAGACTAAGATTGAGCTTTTTGGCAACAAACACTCTAAGTGGATCTGGTGTAAAACAAAAGATGTGTATGCCGACCGAAAAGTACCTCATGCCCACCGTGAAGTATGGTGGAGGATCTGTGATGCTGTGGGCCTGTTTCTCTTCCAAAGGCCCTGGGAACCTTGTTAGGGTGCATGGCATTATGAACGCTTTGAACTACCAGGACATTTTAAATAAAAACCTGATGGCCTCTGCCAGAAAGCTGAAGATGGGTCGTCATTGGGTCTTTCAGCAGGATAATGATCCAAAACGTGTGGCAAAATCTACACAAAAATGGTTCAGTCACAAACTCAAGGTCCTCCCATGGCCATCTCAGTCCCCAGACCTCAATCCAATCAAAAACCTGTGGGGTGAGCTAAAGAGGAGAGTGCACAAGAGAGGGCCCAGGATACTGGATGATCTAGAAAGATTTTGCAAAGAAGAATGGTCAAAGATCCCTCTCTCTGTGTTCTTCAATCTTGTGAAATGTTATAGGAGGAGATTAAGTGCTGTCTTGTTGGCAAAAGGGGGTTGTACAAAGTATTAACATCAGGGGTGCCAATAATTGTGGGACACATGATTTGAAGTTTTTATTTTTTTAAATTTTAATTTTTTTTTTTACCACCAAAGTAATGTACTTAAATAAAAGGTTGGATTTTTCTCTTTTTTTGCATTTGGATTCTATGTTGTTTAAAAAAAAGGGAGAATTTTTAAAAGTCCTCGACCACATCTTAAACAGGGGTGCCAATAATTGTGGAGGGCACTGTACATTAAAATTGAAGTGTGATATTTAAAAAATGTTTTTAAATCATTAGGGATGTTCACACCATGTCGGAATTACTGTAAATGTGTTTTGAGCAAATTAAATAGTTTTTAAGCAATTGTTTTATTTTGCCAGAAGAGTCGGAGAGTCTGTGGATGTGGTTTGAAAATTTGTTTTTGTGTTTTATGGTTTTGAGAAATTGAGTGATGGTTAATGGTTTCAAGAAATGTGTTTTTGCAATTCAGAAAAACTGTAATTCAGCTCTCAACAGCTTACATTGGGTGTCTTTGCCGACCTCTTGTGAAAAAAAAAATTATTTAACATGATATTTATTGACTCTTGCCAGTAGACAGCCTTATATCTTTATATGGTAAAACTGGAGTCAGTTCATTCAGTGTGCATTCAGATACACATGTAGACATTATAAAATCATTTTTTTTAGTAAAGTTTTAGCATTTTTAGTTTGAATTTTGAGCATTTTTAGGTTTTTCTATGCATACTGAAGCATTCCTCGATTCATTCCTATTGGGGGTCAAAATGACCCACATTGTTACTTTTTTACATTTCAACCACAAAACTCGAATCAATTACATTTTTTTTGTGTGTGTGTATTCGTGGTTCAAATGTGACAGTCCTGGGTTCTTGGACTTCTCTGATGAACACTCAATTTAAAAAAAAAAAAAAAAAGGAGGGAAGGATGAGGGTTTAAGGACTGTTAAAAAACGACTTTAGCTTTAAACGGAAGTCAAGCTGCTGGACATTCACAGGTCAAATAAGGAGATGTTTCAGGGATTAATTCATCCTCTGCATAAGCCCAGATATCAGCAACTCTTCTAATGTCTCTAATGATGGAAACTTAGATTGGACCTCTTCAGCACAGCATGATAATACTACACAAACACCCCTCCAATCCCAGCTGGATAAAAAAGCCCATTCCGGCTCGGCGGCAGCCATTAAAAAGCGGTTTGACCTCCCAGCTACAAAGGCAAACTCATTCTACTGTGATCTGCTGGCAGTAAAAACTATTAGGCCTTGTAATAAAGCACTATAAACGCTTCTTATTGGTTATGCACTATTAATTTGCTATAATTGCTTTTGGTGATAGGCTAGGTTTGATTACGGAGGGAGTAGTCCTATAGCGAAGGGAGGATTTTAATGAAGAAACCATCTGGAGTTCAACAGCAGAGGAGCATGCATGCACGTACACACACACACTTATATATGCAACATATACCAACACAATAGTGTGGAAAACATGGAGACGAGAGACGAGCTGATATTTGTCACGAGACAGAGACACAGACAAATTACGGTGACGGACTCCAGTACTGAAGGGGGCGATAGAGTTAACTTAAAATTGCGGAGTTTGCTATAAACATACTGACAGTTTAACTAACTTTAAATTCTTTAGTATCTTTAGATTGTCAAGTTAAGATGTGCGTAACATTAAAAAAAACAATTGGGTTTAGTTTATGTAGCGCAGCAAAACCATGATTTGCTATTTGCTATTATTAGTCAAATTCTTATTCTTGAGAGCATTTTACTGGACAGAAAAATTACATATTAGTGCGAGATGATGTCATCAATAAATTCAGCCCTTTTTCGTTGAAGAGAAAAATCAATTGATTAATTGTGTATATATATATTAGAGCCCAACCGATAAAGGATTTTGAAGGCCGATACTGATACAAAATATTTTTGGGTTTTAAAATACGATATTCCGATATATCGGCCGATATGTTATTTATTTATTTATTTATTTTAAACTGGACATGATAGTCACAAATTTTGTCCTGCTTATTTGAGTTGAGAGAACTGATGGGGATGATCTTTTAATTGTTATTCAAGCAAAGTGTGTCTCGTGACCAACTCAACGAGTGTTGCCAACAGGAACGGTGTAGAGCGCCCTCTGGTGGACAAACTATACAACTCCAACACTCATGACATGGTTGAAGCGTGTTTCGTCCGTTTTTATTTTATTTTTGAAATATTCATTTATCGGCCATCATAACTGCCGATACCGATAGTTTGGAAAATGCCTAATATCGGCCGATAATATCGGTCTGCCGATGTATCGGTCTGGCTCTAATATATATATATATATATATATATATATATATATACACACACACATACATACAGTACTTACTATAATATATAGTATAAGTCATAATACTATGACTTATACTATAACTTATATAGAATAAGTTGAATATAGTAAGTTGTATTTAGTTGTAGTTGTATTTTTCGAAGCTTTTTCCCCCAAAACTGAACACTTCACAATTTAGATTTTTGTTTTAACAGAGTCTTGATTATGTCATAAAGTGGATTGATTCTGCTTTTCTCCAGGTTTATCTCTCTTTAGTGTGTAATGTTGACTGTTTGAGCATGAAAAAGCTCTGGAAAGCTGCAGTTCTCCTCTATATCAGTGTCAGTGTTCTACCGGGAACACGTCACAATATTCCTCATTATAATAATTCATACGCAGAATAAAGGGGCGGGGCCTGGTTGAGTTAGTTAGTCGTGTGTTAAACTGGCGGTTATGGGAAGAGGCGGGACATTTCCAAAACACATTCGAAGCGCTCGACCAATCACAGCACACTGCTCCAGCCGACCAATCAGAGCACAGTGTGCTTTTCAGAGGAGGGGCTTCATAGAGGCAGGAAGTAAACAGAGCGTTACTGACAGACTGGGAAGAGAGGAGCCGCAACAATGAAGAATATGAGGAGAATAATCAACATTCAAGCAGGAAAACCTGTTCTAGACTCTGTGAAAGTGTTTAACAGCTCCTGTTTAAGCTTTGAAAGAGGCGAGTGCTTCTTACGCTGGGTCCCTCTCCTCCGGGACTTGTGTTTGCTCTGAGGTTTGTCTCTGCTTTGCCGGAGGTCTGCAGAAGATGGAGAGAGAGAGGAACACGTCCGTCCGAAAGGAGCAAAGTCACACGTCACAGACACCGGGACATGTTGATAATCGAAAACCCTGAAAATGAAAACCACATCAGTCAAGCTGAAAGAAATAGTCAGACTTTCGTTGAAGTTGTGCTTCACAAGGGCTGGTTATCATTGGCAGCTCTGGACATCAGCTGATTCGGCACGATACACACATTAGCAGAACGCCACTTCACTGATGATCACACTCCAGCACATCCTCGGCACGCTGCCAACGTCTCCGGAGAAACCCTGCCACAAAACTCGCAAGGCTTTTATTTAAAGATTAGCAGTTTCTATGAAAGCGGAGAGTTTTCCCATTATGCCCCAGGGCCGAGCGGTTTGTGACCGGAGAGAGATATCAGCGGATGAGAGAAATCTGCGGCTCGTGTCAAGAGCATGATGGAGCATGCAATTAAAAAAACGGGGTAGGATCGGGTGAAAGAAACGAGACCTGACAGATAGAGACATAAGCAGGGCCGGATGGAGTCTGCAGCTAAACACAACGGATTTCATCATAAACCGTATTAAACCAGCATAATTAGGGATACATTCGACCTGGATCTAGATGCACCGATGTATCAGATGATTTATCGGATCAATTTACAACCGTTGGCATATTGGCGATGCCACGAAACAGGCTGATTTAACAAATTGATGGATTATTAGTTAATTGATGAAAGCACTGAGCTGTATAATGTCTGTAATATTCCTGCTGTCTGCGTTTGAATGTTAATCAAACAACAATAGACAAAAAAATTACTCACTACTCTTGACTAAATAACTTTTCTAACCATCATAAGGGTGAATATATGAATTTGTCAAAGTTTAGGTTAGTAAACGTAAATAAAATAGTGTCTGTGAATATTAAGCTGCAAAAAGATTTAAATATGAATCCTGCATGTTCTGCGTGTAACTGTGTGTAAATGAATGGCTCAGACAAGCAGTTTCATTTACCTCACACACACACACACAGAAGCACGCATGACGTTTTTCTCCATATGAGGGCATGAATGCATGAACTTCAGTTCCAGAGTCACTTCATCCGCATTTTACCAGTTCATTTGACAAAACTATCGTCATATCAAAACACACAGAAACTCGAATGTCTTCACGGCAACCCGTCAAAATAAAAGTTCAGCGTAACAAAGTAATACGTCTCAATGTAATAATAATATATGTATTTAATTTAAACAGTGAAGAATATGCAGTGTTATTAGAGTTGATACTTTATTTCTGTACCCGAAACATCTAAAAAGCACTGTTTATTTCATATGTATCTTTGTTGTGTTGTGTATTTCTGTTGGCCTGCTGAATGTTAATGGACCCAATCCATGTTCATTGGAAACAGTTTGATGATGCAGCAATAAACAAGTAACTTAAAGAGTAACTAAACACTTAACCAACTTTTTTTAGTTAATGATCTGTAAGAATGGATCTTTATTAATACCAGTCATTGATTCAAGTAACTTTTTTGACATTTGTTTATAAAGCGTTTTATTTCTACAATATATGGTGTAAGAGCGTCTTAGTGCTGCCCTCTTCAGGTTGAACGGTGGCTACTGCAGTTGAATTTTCCTATTGGATGTTAGCGATTCTTTGTGACGTACGCATCTTTCAGCTCACCACGCGAGCTACGCCCTTGGCAATATAAAAACCAGCTTGTTTCGTCAAAACCACTGTAGCGAGTCAGGAGTTGGAATTGTGAGTATTGAAAACGATCAGGATAGAGTGTTTTAGCATCTATTTCGTCCCCTCTATCTCCGCTGGGGTCTGCCCACGTTTTCAGCATTTTCAAATATTGCCAGTGGGTGGAGTCAGGCTCTGACCAGGGGTTTAGTTACCCTGTTTAATGCATTTGAACTTTGCTGATTTAAACACTATCAATTTTGATGACAAAAGTTAAAATAAGAGAGAAAATATCAGTATCAGCCAATAATTGTTTGTTAAAATCCCATTGGTGCACTCCTAGTTGCTACATGAGTTTTTTAAGCTGATAAGAACTAGTCGTTGGTACTAGGATTCACTAAATAATTGAGAAACGAGAGGGATTCGAGACACAAAGCAGGCTGGAATCAAACCTCAGACTCCCACATGAGCACCACGGCTTGAGCTAACGCTAGGCCACGGCTCCACAACCGCTAATGCTCTTTACTTGCTCTCCCTCGGAGAAGGAAATGGGATCACACGCCACACGGAGAGGTCTCTTCAAACTAATGAGATTTTGTAGTAAAGTGACAGGCTGATCTCTCAGACAAGCTTCATTATCCCGAGTTCAGTCTCCGTCTGACGGCTCACGGGGAGAGAGCGAGCGGCAGACGCGGCTCCAGCTAACGCTTCACTGTGTGCCGTTTTATCAACGCTCATTCATGTACATTTGGACCGATATCAGCTTTCATTTTATTGCAAAGCAGTTCAATAAATCATAGAACAGCAGGAGCCATAAAGACAGCGATGATATCTCTCTTTATGAGCTTAAAAATAAAGAAAATCGAGTTGGCACGAAACATTCTGATCTATGTCTGAAATGGTTTGCTGCATCATTAGCGCATCTGTTTGTTGTTGACTAAATTCGCTGTGTAAATCATTGCAGGACAGAAGGTGTTAAATGGGACGAACTCACTGAAGGGATATTGGGACGTGGTGTAAATGTAAAACTGCTCTCTTGTCCTTCGTGAGTTGGACATGATTGATTCTCTCCCTGAGGTAATTCAGATCGATTAATTCAGATTGAGTGTGCACGCAGGGGGAAAGTGGTTTGGCTGAAATGAATGGGGATCACAGAAGCGGGATGGAGGTTAATGGAGTGGAAGGAAATCTTTTGCTATTTCAGCAGTTAAAAATCAAAACATGGCCATTTCCGATGAACAGGAAAATAACGTCAAGAGCTCACACACACACTGCTGCATCCACACAAGTGAAATCTGTAAACGCTGCTGCTGGGGATGCATGCGCAAGCCTTACGACATGACCTGAGAGATCACCAACAATCATTTGTATTAGTCTCACAGTATGGAGAGTTGACTGAAACATTCCCGCTGAGCTTGGCTAATGTGTCGAATGTACATGGATGAAAAACACAGTTCGTTTAGAAAAGGCAGCAAATAGTTCTCCAGTTCGGTAACACTTAATAATAATGTTTTCTATGTTAACATTATTTAATGCATGGGTTGGTTGGTTAGTTAGTTGGTTGTTGGCTGGCTGGTTGGTTGAATTAACAGCCAGTCATTTAAATATACTGACTACTAGATTAATTGGTTAATTGTCTGGCTGGTTGGATCATTGATACAACAGAACAATGAACTGTATGTTGATTGGTAGACGGACAAATTGATTGGTTGACAGAAAAGTGTGCATGTGCGAACTTGCTCTAGTACGTAATAACGAGCCTAGATTGAATCAGGAGAAATGAGAGAAATGAGGGTGGCCCGGTGTGAAGCACGGTCGCCTCAGGTCGGCAGTTCGAGGCCTTTCTGTGTGGAGTTTGCATGTTCTCCCCGTGTCAGCGTGCGTTTCCCAGTTTCCCCCACAGTCTAAAGACATGCAGGAAAGATTGATTGGATATGCCAAATTGTCCTAGTGTGATTGTGAATGTGTCGCAGCACTCTCAGTGATTGTGACAGGAAGGGTATTTGATGTAAAACCTGTGCCGAATCATGTGTGTGTGAAGCGGACCCTGCAAATGAGTGGGAATAACGCTTAAACAAAGAGAAAGTACTGAGAAATATTCCTCAGATGCCATGTCTGTCATTTACAGCAAAACATCTAGCATTAATTTGATCTCAGACAGATTTATTAAAGGGTTAGTTCACCCAAAAATGAAAATTAAGTCATTAATTACTCACCCCCATGCTGTACCAACCCCGTAAGACCTTCGTTCATCTTCGGAACACAAATAAAGATATTTTTGATTGAATCTGAGAGCTGGATCACTCTTCCATTGGCTTCCTAAGGGACTGGCTCTTGACGGCCCATAAAGTCATTAAAGAAAAGGTTTAAATATTCCATGTGCCTACAGCGGCTCAATTATAAGTTTATCAAGCGACGAGACTACTTTTTGTGCGAAAAAAAACATAAATAACGACTTTATTCCACTATTCCATTACTTCCTTATGTGCGCATGCGCGAGAACTGAGACGAGGACGTTCTCATTCGTCTACTTCTTGTTACCGGCTGCTCACCGCTTAGGAGTTTTACCGCCCCCTACCGTATAAGATGATAATAAGGCACACTGTCGTTTTTTGAGAAGGTTTTTAAGTGCACCTTTTAGTGCGGAAAATACGCTAATTGAAAAGCGTATGTACAGCGCGCATCTTCCTCTGCTTGTAAACAGAAAGTTTTGCGCTTCCAGCTATATCAGCACATCATCTTATACGGTAGGGGGCGGTAAAACTCCTAAGCGGTGAGCAGCCGGTAACAAGAAGTAGTCGAATGAGAACGTCCTCGTCTCAGTTCTCGCGCATGCGCCCATAAGGAAGTAATGGAATAGTCAAATAAAGCCGTTATTTATGTTTTTTTCACACAAAAAGTAGTCTCGTCGCTTGATAAACTTATAATTGAGCCGCTGTAGGCACATGGAATATTTAAACCTTTTCTTTAATGACTTTATGGGCCGTCAAGAGCCAGTCCCTTAGGCAGTCTATGAAGGAGTGATCCAGCTCTCAGATTCAATCAAAAATATCTTTTTTTGTGTTCCGAAGATGAACGAAGGTCTTACAGGGTTGGTACAGCATGGGGGTGAGTAATTAATGACTTAATTTTCATTTTTGGTGAACTAACCCTTTAAAGGGGTGGTAAAATGCCATTTTCACAAGATGTAAAATAAATCTCTGATGTCCCCAGAGTGTGTGTGTGTGTGAAGTTTTAGCACAAAATACCCGACAGATATTTTTATATAACATGTTAAAGTAGTCACTTTTTTAGGGTTTGCAAAAATGCACGGTTTTGTGCCTGGCCCTTTAAATGCAAATGAGCTGCTGCAGAGGGCGGGGTTTCAAGAGCTTGCGTGTGTTAGCAGCTGCGATTACCTCACGCAGACACACTAAAATGACA